TCTTTCGCTACTCAGGTTAAACATGATATATGAGTCACTTAGATAACTTAACAATGTTATTGTTTGGCTTTTTTCAGTATTTTATTTGTTCCTGAGTAAATCAGTTTGGCTGAGATTAAAGTTTTTACACAGCTGAATAAACGTCAAGCAGACAGCTGATCATCAGAAGTGTGAGATGCTCCAGAATATACTCCGGTGTCCTGTTATATTTTAGATAGCAAGGAGTTTATTAAACTTCACCGAAACAATCTGCAAATTTAATTTAAATTTAATAAACTATCATCTTGTCTTTATTCTTTGTTAGCACTTAAAGCTGTAAGCTAATAATAGTTATATAAGAGCAGATGCTGCTGGTGCAATAAGCTGTATGTTCAATGGATGATGATCTGATTAGTCGACTAGTCGCAAAAATAATCGGTGACTAGTCGACTATCAGAATAATCGTTTGTGGCAGCCCTACCCACATGTGGTGGTTTTATTCACGCTCTGATAAAACGTGAACTTTAAAACGTTTCTTTTTAAATGGATGCTTGTAAACATCCGTTCCTGTCCCGCAGGCGGCGGTCTGACCTTCAAACGCGGGATTTTCGGGAACCTGGGGAAACAGGAGACGATGATGTCGGCGTGTTACGGTCGATCCGAGGACCTCGTTTTCTCCGGAGCCACGAACGGAGACGTTTACATCTGGAGAGACACGATGCTTATCAAGACCATCAAAGCCCACGACGGCCCCGTGTTCGCCATGTGCTCCCTGGACAAGGTGACGCTTCATCCTTTGTTATCTAAAGTGGAGGAGGGTTGAGTCTGTAGCAGGGTGGAGTAATACGAGCAGCACTCATGGACAAAAACTATCTTTTACATGATTGATTGATTGATGATTGAAGATGATTGTCAAGAAGTGGCTGCAGGCAGCAGAGGATGCAAAGGCAGGACGCAACTCAAAACACAGCTTTATGCTGCAGGAGATACAGAACTAAACTAAACACACAGGAGGGAACTCAGCCGAAGGTGATCTAAGTAATGAGGCAGGGAAACATGACACACGTCACACAGGAGACTATCAAAGTAAAACAGGAAGCACTCGCACCACATGGCACATGACAGGGGAGAACACTCAGGGAAACGAGCTAATGAGGGGGGGGGGCAGTTAAGGTGGTCGAGACACAGAGAGAGCGCGAGAGGGGAGACATGACAGGCTGGGGAGGAGAAACGTGAGGAGGAGGACGAGGGAACAGGAAAGGGGAAGAAGACACAGACACACCAAACTCATGAACCGAGAACATGAATACAAAGTAACACAAGAACTCAAAAACACTGGTGACCTGGAAGCATGACAACGACCCTTTCAAAATAAAATCATAACCACAGACTTGTTTGCATTTCTGCTTCCTGTGTCCAGGGTTTTGTGACGGGGGGGAAAGACGGCATCGTGGAGCTTTGGGACGACATGTTTGAGAGATGTTTGAAAACGTACGCCATCAAGCGGGCTGTCCTGTCTCCGTCCTCTAAAGGTAGGGGACGCCAGCATCGGGGTGTTTTTGAACGGCGCGAGCGCCTGAAGGTGATCGGTCGTGTTTTCTGAGCAGGGCTGCTGCTGGAGGACAACCCGTCCATCAGAGCCATCACGCTGGGCCACGGTCACATCCTGCTGGGAACCAAGAACGGAGAGATCCTGGAGATCGATAAGAGCGGCCCCATGACGCTGCTGGTGCAGGTAAGTTAACTTCACCAATCTGTCACGGGCTCTCCTGCTCCGCCCCCACCTCACTGAGATTGAATCGCTACAGTGCACTGACACAGTCACCTGTACACCTCACACCTGTGTGTGCCAGGGTCACATGGAGGGCGAGGTGTGGGGTTTGGCGGCACACCCTCTACTTCCTGTCTGTGCCACCGTCAGTGACGACAAAACTCTGAGGATCTGGGAGCTGTCAGCCAATCACCGCATGGTGGCTGTCCGCAAGCTCAAGAAAGGTGAGACGAGCAAATGTGAAACCTTGGCGTGCTCTCTTTCTTACCTGTGCTGTGTTTCCTGTCAGGTGGGCGGTGCTGTGCCTTCTCTCCGGACGGGAAAGCTCTGGCGGTCGGCCTAAATGATGGCAGCTTCCTGGTGGTGAACGCCGACACGCTGGAAGACATGGTGACGTTTCACCATCGCAGAGAGCTCATCTCAGACATCCGCTTCTCCCAAGGTACCTGAACTCAGCGCACAGGTGTGGCACAGGATGAAGGTCACCGGTGGGTCGCTGATGAGTCAGGTGTGTGTTTCAGATGCGGGGAAGTACCTGGCTGTGGCCTCGCACGACTCTTTTGTGGACATCTACAACGTCCTGACCAGCAAGAGAGTCGGCATCTGCAAAGGAGCCAGAAGCTACGTCACTCACATCGACTGGGACTCCAGAGGTGAGACTCACCTGTGCTGCGGTCACTGGCGCCACCTTCAGGACACACTTTCCATTAATAGCAGGCTGCAGCTTTACATGACAGTGAGGTGGCGTCAGACTCTCATGTGCTACCTCTACAGGTAAGCTGCTGCAGGTGAACACCGGAGCCAAAGAGCAGCTATTCTTTGAGGCGCCGCGAGGACGCAGACAGAACATCAGCGTGGCCGAGGTCAGGAGTGCGCCGACAGCTCTGGTGAGGCGTTTCAACTGAACTGCAGAGGTCATGCCGTGTTTCTGTTTCAGTTCGAGAAGCTGGAATGGGCGAGCTGGACGTCCGTTTTCGGTCCCACCTGTGAGGGGATATGGCCGACGCTCAGCTTTGTTAACGCCGCCTCGCTCACCAAAGACCGCAAACTGCTGGCCACCGGAGACGACTTCGGCTTCCTCAAACTCTTCAGCTTCCCGTCCAGGGTGAGAGAGGAGTCCACGCCACGTCTCAAACCGTCTACTTTCAAAGGCTCTGTTCATCTTAACCTCTGACCTCTGACCTCAGGGCCAGTTTGCCAAGTTTAAGAAGTATGTGGGTCACAGCTCCAACGTGACCAATGTCCGCTGGTCCAACGATGACACCGTGTTGCTGACAGTGGGCGGGGCTGATACAGCGCTGATGATCTGGACCAGAGAGCTGCCGGGTCACAAGGAGAGCAAAGCTGTGGACAGCGAGGAGTCTGACGACGACACAGAGGAGGACGGAGGTACGCCGTGACCACGGCAACTCCTTTCCACTTTACAGTCCCAGTTCAGAACAGCAGCTGCCTCGTTCAAGGAGGGGCAGCTGCTGTGATTGGTTGGAGGGTGAGCGGAGGAAAACATCGCTGTAATAAATGCATGAACTGGTTTTTCAGCATCTCTCTGAGACAGGACATTTCTCATTTTAGAGATGTTGCACAGAAGATGTTCTCTGCTCGGTTCTTGACCTTCGTCGTCACCTCTGTGTCGTGTTGTTGTTTTTAGGGTACGACAGCGACGTGGCCCGGGAGAAGGTGGTGGACTACATCACTAAGATCTACTCGGCCAGCATCAGGAACATGTCAGGAACCAAACCTCACCTGCAGCACAAAGAGCTTCCCGTGGAGGAGAGGTAGGATCGCTTTGCTTCCTGTTGTGGGTTCAGACGTGCGTGTCTGATGTCGGTTCTCCTGTTCAGGCCTCCGGTGAGCCGAGCTGCACCACTTCCCGACAAACTGCTGAAGAACAACGTGACGAAGAAGAAGAAGGTGGTGGAGGTGAGCGTGGGACCTCTGCTTACCGGGAGCAGCTGACGCAGCCCTCGACTCATGTGTGTGTGTGTGTGT